AATGTCCCCGCTCAAGATTTGCAATTTTCCAAGTTAAAGGGGGCATAACTCTAGAACGGTAAATACTTACAACCCAAATTCAAACTCTGTCTGCGTGTTGTGGTTCTTAGCATTATGTATGAGTTCCATAAAATTTGGAAGAGGAAAACTTAAGTGTGTGGAAACGAAAAAATTTGCAATTTTAGAAGTTATAAAGGGGCATAACTCTAGAACAGTAGGTGATTCACCTCCAAAATTCGATCTCTGTGTGTGTGAGGTTTGGTTTTATCACTGTGTATGAGTTTTATAAAATTTGCATGAGGCAAACTTAATTTAGAGTGCAGAAACCAAAATCAAAGAGCTGATTGCTCTGAGGTGGAAGAAGATGCATAAAAGGTAACTTGAATTACCATAAGAGCAGCCCCACCAAACCAGTCTGCTTTGTCCCATTATTGCTTTTGACGCATTTTTTTCTTTAAAAAATAGTTAGACTCATACCTCAACCAAAACTCACTATACTTAACATAAAAATCTGCAAATACTGTTGATTCAAATTAATTTTTCTATAACTAGATTCCATACATTCGTCTAAGAAAGGTCAACTTGATGCAATGCAAATTTGCAAAGCAATTATAACATTAATTGATTTGGTTTCACTTAAAAGTTTTCTGTCAAAGGTAGATAGTTGACCTTAAAAAAAAATGATTACCAAGTTTTTAGTCAAGTTTGTTTAAACTAGGGTTTTCATTATAAACAGATATTCAATGCAGATATGTGTCAGGCCAAGAATTGGTTTTTGGGCACTCGAGCCTCGATAATGGGTGTACCTAAATGACGAATAACGGTAAAGAGCTGGACTATTTAGTTGTTAAGATCCCGTTTTTGGTCAATATAAAACTTTGAATCGTAAGGGAATAAAGACAATCATTGGGGACATTTCGACAATGACCGACAGTGCATCGTTTGATGTGTAACACACCAGCAGATTCACGTGTGCGCTTGACTCTTTATTATCGCCATAACATACTAAAATATTCTCACTTTCGTATTAAAAAACACATGTTGTCTAAAACTGGAATATGACTTGATTGCATTAAAGATCTAAACGTAGACGGAACAACCCAATCCGTGTATTTTTTCAAGCATCATTGATTTGAAGTCGTACTCTCCACGCAGATACTTGACTACAACATAAGATGGATTGTATGAATATATGCAATTCTGTTTATCAATATTTTAAAACTTTCGTACGCACAAATTGTCAATTAAATTTCCCATTTGTGTACATGCGCAGATATGTAACCAACATGGTTTAGATTAACCTGAATAATCCAGTTGTTTTATTCCGATAATTCCAATCATTAATCTACTAAAGACAATTATTACACCAATCAGAGAATTATTATCATGACATATTAAATGCTCCAAGACAAGCCATCAACTTTTAATTATTTTTTTTCATGTGTTTTCATGAATTTCGAGAATTTCTACCATATAAATATCTGAATTAGTTTATTAAAATTGAATACCCTTAATATTAATATTTTTTAATAATGAAAGGACGTAAAAACGTCATTGATAAAAGTAAGTAGAAGGAACTTAGGGTGAACATACTCTATGGGCGGAAGAACTTAGGACAAACAGACCAAGGGCGAACATTTAAAAAGGGTAAACTGACCCGATATCAAATTCACGCATGCATACTACAATAATCTACATTAAATACTTCCGGTTACAAGTAAACAAATAACGTTCATGTAAGATGAGATGAAATCTAATAATTTACATAAATAAAAGGGTATATATTTTTACATTAAAACATGAGAAACTATAACACTTACGGAAGTTGTAATGAAATTGTAATACACAGAAAGGGATACAGCATACAACCTGGTAATGGTTCAATGATTTTACAGCCGGCAGTAAAGGCTTTCAGAAGACTTGAAGTCTTCTTCCACCAAAAAGACGGATGGATAGAAAGGAGGACGGAGGGACAGTCAAAGGTAACACTTAATGCCTCCTTTGCCTATATATATAAGGAGGGGGCATAAAAATGTAGTCCTAGATGAAGATTATCACTGCTTTTTCGCTTGATTCCCATTTAGATTTGTTTTCCATAACTAAGAGAAAATGTGCCATTATTTCAAGATCTTTATCCATTAAATCAATAAGTAAAAATATATATAAATATATATATTAAATTCTTAGCCACACAGCCACCACTTAACTTGTTTGTCATATTGGAGTCTTGATTAAAAACAGTCCAGAGTTATTATTTAGCTCAGTTGGCAAATAAGTTGTTTATTTTAACAGTGGTACCTAAGGTTCAAATCCAAAAATGGTGCAGAGGTCATTTAAGGAGGATAATCATTTCTACAATTACAGAAGCACACACTCTCTATCCAGAAAATGTGGCATTCCCAAAACATGACCTTCTACATTATACAATCTAGGACTGGGATTTAACATGTGGCATTCCCAAAACATGACCTTTTACATTATACAATCTAGGACTGGACTTTAACATGTGGCATTCCCAAAACATGACCTTCTACATTATACAATCTAGGACTGGGCTTTAACATGTGGCATTCCCAAAACATGACCTTCTACATTATACAATCTAGGACTGGACTTTAACATGTGGCATTCCCAAAACATGACCTTCTACATTATACAATCTAGGACTGGGCTTTTAATATTATAATATAACCAAACAAGACAAAACAGAGACATCCCATAATTGCAACCTAAGATAAGGTTGACATTCTTATAATAAAATGCTCCGCTGGGGCGCAGCTTGATACGACCGCAGAGGTCGAACCCTGAACAGTTGGGGCAAGTATGGACACAACATTCAAGCTTGATACAGCACTGAATTTGGATTGTAATTAAATATTTGACACAGCATAGGTTTCTCACACAGAATGAAAGTGGTCTAAGAACTTAAAATTTTTTAATTTACCTATTCAAACCATATCGTTGTTATTTGCTTTTATATATACATCAGAAATAACCAATTTAAAATGGAAAATTTTAAAGAAAAAAACATACATGTGATGGACTGTGAAACTCAGATCAGGAGATTGGAAAATTTTGGTCAGGAGATTAGGACTCAGATCAGGAGGTTTTTAATCGACATAAAGTTTGTCGTAAATGTAACCGTGTGCTGTAAAAATTGTCTTTTAAAGTGTGTTTTCTTCAACTTTCAATCCAAATGTATTATGTATTATGTTTATAGTACCCTTGTACTTATAAAGTTTCTTTATCTTAATATTCTACATGTTCAATCTAATATTCTTTTTTTTTAGTATGTTCTTTAAATTTTTCAATTCATATCTTTTATATCATTATTCTATAGGACAAACATTGCAATCAGATCATTTGTTTACCGATCTGCATTTGCAGTTAGATTTTATTTGAATAATCAGAAACTCATTTAAATTTAGAACATGGGTCATAGTTATTATATGAATTCAATTTAAGCCTTGAAAGAAAGTATAGAACCCTCAAATAATTTTCAAATTATTATTTTTTGATTTGTCCTAAGACATTTAAAATCATTTAATTACCATCCTTTTATGATTATTTGTTCAATTTATATTTTATTTATATTCTTTTAAAAATTTACATTATTTAAAGGAAAGTAACTTAAAACAGGATAAATCAGGGGAAGTAACCCAATAAATACACAAAGTTTTTATTACACAACGGCAGTTAGCCTGAGGTAAAAATCGTTGATTACCAGAATGTTTGACACCCAAGCTGACAAGTGAAGCCATATAATTATGCATGTTAATTGATTTACAGGTAAAATATAACTTCAGGTGATGTCAGTTACACCAGATGTCTGAGATGATATGTTGGGCAGTTACATGTTGTGATGTCACTGCAGATCTGAGAATACACAGGATTTTTTTCTCTTCAACGCGAGGTCGGGAGGAGACCCCTGAAAACGGGATTATTGTACTACCGTCGGGAGGTTTACATGTATGAAAAAAAGAAAAAAAAATCCCCCAAATATTTTTGAACCCCCTTATGATTCATCACCCCATTGGCCCAAACTCAATCCCAGCTTTCCCTTTGTGGTATGGTACCTTGCAGTACAATTTCAGAGAGATCCATACACTTGAACACAAGTTATTGTCTTGAAACTAGAAAAATGCTTGTTTTTTGGCCCCAAATTCCTAAACGTTTAGGGCAATTACCCCCAAACTCAAACCCAGCTTTCCCTTTGTGATATGGAACCTTGCAGTACAATTTCATAAAGATCCATACACTTACACACAAGTTATTGTCCTGAAACTAGAAAAATGCTTGTTTTTTGCCCTTTTATGGCCCCTAATTACTAAAATTTTGAGGGAATTACCCCCAAAAATCAATCCCAGTCTTCCCTTTGAGGTATGGTACCTTGCAGTACAATTTCAGAGAGATCCATACATTTGAACACAAGTTATTGTCTGGAAACTAGAAAAATGCTTATTTTTGGCCCCTTATTCCTAAACTTTTTGGGCAATTACCCCCAAACTCAATTCCAGCTTTCCCTTTGTGATATGGAACCTTGTAGTACAATTTCATAAAGATCCATACACTTACACACAAGTGATTGTCATGAAACTAGAAAAATGCTTGTTTTTCGCCCCTTTTTGGCCCCTAATTCCTAAAATATGGAGGCAATTACCCCCAAAATCAATCCCAGCATTCCCTTTGTGATATGGAACCTTGTGATACAATGTCAGAGAGATCCATACACTTACACACAAGTTATTGTCTTGAAACTAGAAAAATGCTTGTTTTTTGTCCCTTTTTGGCCCCTTATTCCTAAAATTTGGAGGCAATTACCCCCAAAATCAATCCCAGCATTCCCTTTGTGATATGGAACCTTGTGGTACAATGTCAGAGAGATCCATACACTTACACACAAGTTATGTCTGGAAGTTACAAAAATGCTTATTTTTGGCCCCTTTTTGGCCCCTAATTCCTTAACTGTGGGTACCATAACCCCCAAAATCAATCCCCACCTTCCTTTTGTGGTATTGAACCTTATGGTAAAATTTCATTGAGATTCATTCACTTAAACTAAATTTAGAGTGCGAAAACTAATGTGTATTCGGACGACGACGACGACGACGCCGGACGACGACGACGACGACGCCAACGTCATACCAATATACGACCACAAAAATTTTTTTGCGGTCGTATAAAAATAAGAAGATGTGGTATGATTGCCAATGAGACAACTCACCACCAGTCACCAAATGACATAAAAGTTAACAACTATAGGTCCCCATAGCTTTCAACAATGAGCATAACTCATACCACATAGTAAGCTATAAAGGCCCTGGAAATGACAATTTATGTAAAATAATTCAAACGAGAAAATTAATGGCCTGATTTATGTACAAACAATAAACAAAAAACAAATATGATATACAAAAACAAACCACAACCACTGAATTATAGACTCCTGACTTGTGACAGACACACACAGAATGTGGCGGGGTTAAACTTGTTTGTTGGTGCCAAACCCAAAAACATTAATGAAACATGTAATAGTTTGGAAACCTGTCCATCATTGAAGACAGTATGTGGGCCTCTTGTTGTTTTGTATTCTTGTTTTATTTTTTGTTTTATAGTTTTGGTTTTTGCTAAAAACAAAATGCATATAAAATAGTGGAATTACAGCCATATTAATTATTCCTTTGCAGATTTGTCAGGAAGCTGACAGTAATGAACACATAATACTTTAAATTTCTTTTGTTCTTTTAAACATCTGAAGAACAAATATATGCATCACTAATGAAGATGTCTCTGAGTTAAATTGAAAGAAATTGTAGGCTCTCCATCTTGAAAATGATAGATCTTACATGGTATGTGGGAGGTCAGCACAGCTGAGATATTGATTTTTAGAAGACTGATCATTTAAAACTGTCAACAGATATAAAATCACAATATTGATTACTGAGCTGTAGAACATATGGAAATAATATGTCTTTTTTTTCAAAGGAAAAACAAAAGTCAAATTGTTATTTGCACCACTTTTTTGATTGGAGCGTCACTGATGAGTCTTATGAGGAGTCTTATGACGTACATAATTATAAGCCTAGTATCTTTGATGAGTTTATGTCTGGCTCAGCATGTATGTATGCCTACTGAAAATGAAAAAGTAGGATATAAATATCGTGTTTGTCTGTTTGTATCATCATTTGGTATGTTTGTCAGGACTAGGATATATATATCTCTCTCTTTCCACTGAATCATGCTGTTAGTAGATCACTGCAGATTTGCTGTAGACTGAATGGTTTGATGACTGGGAAGGTTTTATTTTGAACCCCTTTGATATACGGCTAGGCTTAATCCATCAATATGAGGGGTTCAAAAGGAAGTCTTTCTGTTTTAAGTGAATATATCTTTACATTTATATACATTTATGATGTAAAATTCCCTGATATTGCCTATATTTTCCCCAAAACACAGGTGGAAAACCTTTATAAAAACCTAAATGTAATTTTAAACTGCAAACATTATACTGCAATGTAGATTTTCTCTTTGTCATGTAACCTCACCTTTTTAATGATTAAATATTATATAGGTTAACAGGTTAGCAAACTCAGATCAAATTATATTACTCCAGAAATTGAATTGTCACATTATCTGCTTTCTATTGTACCAGCAATAGATTGATTCATGAAACACTTGAGGGCAGCACTGCTATTTCTGTTAACTGAATTGATTAATCAACAAGCTCAGCTACAATGTATACTAGGGTAATACAAACATAATACAATGTTCACTTTCTTCTTTAATATTGTATACTTTCAATCTTCACATCTTGATTGATAACAACCCGAAAGTCATATTGTATTTATTAAATAAACACTTTTCTAAATTATTTTTTATATAATAACTTGGACTTCCATATACATCATGTACATGATGTATTTGGATTTATGTCCTGAACTAAAAGCAAAACTTTGCAAAAAATTGAAAATATTTATCATTAGATAATTTGTTTTAGTGTATTAGAAAAATTAAGAAAATCTTTATCTAAAGTTTAGGGTCAGTTTTTTATTAGTTAATTTTTTTAACATAATTTTCTAAAAAACAAGTTTTATGTTTTCTTCTGAGAAGTAATCATAAGATACTTAATATTCAAAAAGATCAAAAATAGAAGGAGAAAGGAAAAGGGGAATGTGTCAAAGAGACAACAACCCGACCAAAGAGCAGAAAACAGCCTATCATGTTTAGATATATAAACTATAAACCACTGGAACTGAAAAATCTGGCAGAAAAAACTCCTATCAAAATAGGATTAAACATGAGTAATCCATCATAGAAATATAAGTAGGTCTGAAAAAATGCATACATTTGTACAAACCTGCATCAACAACGATCCGTCAGGTATTGTGATTCGTATACAGAATTTTTGGCCAGCGTTCCATCTGGATACAATATGAACATCCTCAATACTAGAATACAGAACAGAACTATCCATCATTCCTGTAGGCTGAAAATATGATATGAGGTTTGGTTATAGTAATAAGTAATAATCATGATAATACCTATATACTTTATTTTATGACCCTGCATTGTAAGAGAGTATGACTTCTGACAAATTAAACTACAGTTTTTTTTCATCAATTCCCTTAAATGTAAAAAACATTTTATTATGCAGTTTAAGACGAAAAGATTTTTCAACTGGGCTAATCAGTATGAAAGCTGCTAGTGCCCATGTTGTTCATCCCTCAAAACCAAATGAGATGATTTGACTTCCTAAGATAATATTACCTTTTGATGATCTGTATTTACCTTTCAAGATAATTCAAGTAAGAATTCTTTTATGACATATGTGCCCTTGAAAAAGAATAAATTAGGGGGCAGAGAAGTTTTGTTTCCGAGATTTATATGTGCTTCCTTCAGCGTACAAAAATTTTGACATTGTACTAAAATTTCTTGTTTTACTCTCTTCACTGAGCAATTTTATTTATATTCAAGTATAAATAGCAATTCGAAAAAGACTGAACTTAAAATACTCCTTTCATAAAACGGATGTTAACGCTAACAATGTAGCAAAATGGCTTCCTGTTAGAACTAGCAAGCTAAATGCATCAGTAATAAAATCAATATCAACTAAGGAAATCTCACAAATGAAGCATATCTTTTTGTTAAAGTCAGTTCCTTTGGTTTTGTATCATTTTTACTCATGGGAATCTTCCTCGTTTAATGGCTACAAATGTAAACATTGCATTATAATAATAATAATAATAATAGTAATGATAATGATTTAAAATTCTTTGTTTAAAGAGGGTGAACACAGTCACAATATGTAGTTACAACATTGTGTAACTGGAATCACAATAAAAACATGTAAAATATGGGATATTAGAAAAGACATGAGGATAGATGTGTTTTAATTCAATCTGTTTGGTACTCCTTACATGCCTTAAAACAGAACAATCTGAAGAATCTGAGTTTTTTCTTATTTAAAATTTAAAGCACAAAATGGTTAAAGTGAGTGTCTTGGAAAGTAGAAACAAACATCTAGTCAATGATATAGGTCATGAAGCCTTCTTTTCCCAAAAAAAACTACTATAAACCATACTTATTTTCACAGAGATTTGTTAAGCACTAAAGTCTACACACGATCTATTTCACAATTTTTTTACTTTCATGGTAATGTATTTGCAAGGATTTCATCTGTGAATTTCACATTAGGCTAAAGTATAAATATACCTTATCTAGTTCTATTTTTAATAATTACCTCACAGCTCAGGTATTCAAAACAGCAATTTAAGGTCAAATGTCTAAGAGAACTTTTCATATATCAACTAAAAGTGCATTGAGCAAAAGCAGCTGCTGCCTCTAAGCAGAAAAATCAAAGTGATTTAAATCACTGGAATGATTGGAAGAGTTGTGTGCATAATTTCAATCATATTTGAGTCTTCCATTAAAGTATGAAGGTGAACAACAAAAAAACCCTATAGCTGCATTACTGCAGTTCTCAGAATGATAAAAAAAAAATCAGTAGAAAAATGAGCTAAATGTGTGTCAAACTGTCAGTAGCTCACTAAATCTGCATAGCAATTTTTATCAAATCTTGTCCATAGATTCAAGTTTAAAGTGTACTTTTTAAAACAGAAGATATTACCGAATAACAATTCCTATAAAAAAAAGTGTACTATTGTACTTCCTCAGTAAGCATGGGCCGATAGATAAAGGAACTTGAAACAATCATCTTTGAGGACCAAATTTACCTGTAAATGGTTGATTTTTGGGGGATTTCTATACATGTATGTACAAAATTACATTGTAAATATACCATTTTTCTAACTCTTAATTTGGTTGCTTAATGATATTGATAAAAAATTAAATGACACTGAAGAATAAAATGCTTTGCTGGGCGCAGCTTGATACGACCGCAGAGGTCGAACCCTGAACAGTTGGGGCAAGTATGGACACAACATTCAAGCTTGATACAGCTCTGAATTTGGATTGTGATTAAATATTTGACACAGCATAGGTTTCTGACACAGAAAGAATGTGGTCTAAGAACTTCAATTTTTTTAATTTACCTATTATGGTCCAATGCCCAAAATCAAAATACATGGTTAGATTCAGCATATCAAAGAACCCCATATATTCAATTTTTGTTGAAATCAAACAAAGTTTAATTTTGGACCCCAACTTGGACAAACTTGAAAACTGGTCCCATAATCAAAAATCTAAACACATGTTTAGATTCAGCATATCAAAGTACCCCAAGAATTCAATTTTTGTTAAAATCAAACTAAGTTTAATTTTGGACCCTTTGGACCTTAATGTAGACCAATTTAAAAAACGGGACCCAAAATTAAAAATCTAAAAACACGGTTAGATTTGGCATATCAAAGAACCCCAATAATTCAATTTTTGATGAAATCAAACAAAGTTTAATTTTGGACCCTTTTGACTTCAATATGAACCAATTTGATAGCGGGCCCACAAAATAAAAAATCTAAATACATGGTAAGATTCAGCATATCAAAGAACCCCATATATTCAATTTTTGTTGAAATCAAACAAAGTTTAATTTTGGACCCCAATTTGGACCAACTTGAAAACTGGGCCAAAAATCTAAAATCTAAATACATGTTTAGATTCAGCATATCAAAGAACCCCATATATTCAATTTTTGTTGAAATCAAACAAAGTTTAATTTTGGACCCCAACTTGGACCAACTTGAAAACTGGTCCCATAATCAATAAAATGCTTCGCTGGGCGCAGCTTGATACGACCGCAGAGGTCGAACCCTGAACAGTTGGGGCAAGTATGGACACAACATTCAAGCTTGATACAGCTCTGAATTTGGATTGTGATTAAATATTTGACACAGCATAGGTTTCTGACACAGAAAGAATGTGGTCTAAGAACTTCAATTTTTTTAATTTACCTATTATGGTTCAATGTCCAAAATCAAAATACATGGTTAGATTCAGCATATCAAAGAACCCCATATATTCAATTTTTGTTGAAATCAAACAAAGTTTAATTTTGGACCCAACTTGGACAAACTTGAAAACTGGTCCCATAATCAAAAATCTAAACACATGTTTAGATTCAGCATATCAAAGTACCCCAAGAATTCAATTTTTGTTAAAATCAAACTAAGTTTAATTTTGGACCCTTTGGACCTTAATGTAGACCAATTTAAAAAACGCGACCCAAAATTAAAAATCTAAAAACACGGTTAGATTTGGCATATCAAAGAACCCCAATAATTCAATTTTTGATGAAATCAAACAAAGTTTAATTTTGGACCCTTTTGACCTCAATATGAACCAATTTGATAGCAGGCCCACAAAATGAAAAATCTAAATACATGGTAAGATTCAGCATATCAAAGAACCCCATATATTCAATTTTTGTTGAAATCAAACAAAGTTTAATTTTGGACCCCAATTTGGACCAACTTGAAAACTGGGCCAAAAATCTAAAATCTAAATACATGTTTAGATTCAGCATATCAAAGAACCCCATATATTCAATTTTTGTTGAAATCAAACAAAGTTTAATTTGGGACCCAAACTTGGACCAACTTGAAAACTGGTCCCATAATCAAAAATCTAAACACATGTTTAGATTCAGCATATCAAAGAACCCCAAAAATTCAATTTTTGTTAAAATCAAACTAAGTTTAATTTTGGACCCTTTGGACCTTAATGTAGACCAATTTAAAAAACGGGACCCAAAATTAAAAATCTAAATACACGGTTAGATTTGGCATATCAAAGAACCCCAATAATTCAATTTTTGATGAAATCAAACAAAGTTTAATTTTGGACCCTTTTGACCTCAATATGAACCAATTTGATAGCGGGCCCACAAATAAAAAATCTAAATACATGGTTAGATTCAGCATATCAAAGAACCCCATATATTCAATTTTTGTTGAAATCAAACAAAGTTTAATTTTGGACCCCAATTTGGACCAACTTGAAAACTGGGCCAAAAATCTAAAATCTAAATACATGTTTAGATTCAGCATATTAAAGAACCCCATATATTCAATTTTTGTTGAAATCAAACAAAGTTTAATTTTGGACCCAAACTTGGACCAACTTGAAAACTGGGCCCATAATCAAAAATCTAAACACATGTTTAGATTCAGCATATCAAAGAACCCCAAGAATTCAATTTTTGTTAAAATCAAACTAAGTTTAATTTTGGACCCTTTGGACCTTAATGTAGACCAATTTAAAAACGGGACCCAAAATTAAAAATCTAAATACACGGTTAGATTTGGCATATCAAAGAACCCCAATAATTCAATTTTTGATGAAATCAAACAAAGTTTAATTTTGGACCCTTTTGACCTCAATATGAACCAATTTGATAGCGGGTCCACAAATAAAAAATCTAAATACATGGTTAGATTCAGCATATCAAAGAACCCCAAGAATTCAATTTTTGATGAAATCAAACAAAGTTTAATTTTGGACCCTTTTGACCTCAATGTGGACAAAGTTGATAACGGGGCCCAAAAATCAAAAATCTAAATACATGGTTAGATTCAGCATATCAAAGAACCCCATATATTCAATTTTTGTTGAAATCAAACAAAGTTTAATTTTGGACCCCGATTTGGACCAACTTGAAAACTGGGCCCATAATAAAAAATCTAAATACATGTTTAGATTCAGCATATCAAAGTACCCTACAAATTCAATTTTTGTTAAAATCAAACTAAGTTTAATTTTGGGCCCTTTTGACCTTAATGTAGACCAATTTGAAAACGGAACCAAAAATTAAGAATCTAAATACACGGTTAGATTCGGCATATCAAAGAACCCCAATAATTCAATTTTTGATGAAATCAAACAAAGTTAAATTTTGGACCCTTTGGACCTCAATGTGGACCAATTTAAAAACGGGGCCCAAAATCCAAAAACTTAATACACGGTTAGATTCAGCATATTAAAGAACCCCAAGAATTCAAGAATAAAACCCCATTGAAATTGATCAAGAAA